GGGGGGGGGGAGCAGGTTTCTTCCCTCTTCTAGGGAAGTAAACCTACTTGCTGAGTTGATTACTAGGTGCAGAGTTAACAACAGTAAGGCTTTAAATACAGCAATGGCTGCCAAAAACATGAGAAAAGTGCCGTGACCTGCGGTGGGTGACACCGACTCACCTTGCTGTCTGGTTTCCATCAGCGACGCTCAGGTGAATTTTCCACGTAACCTTCAGAGACAAACAGCACGCGCAGCACCGCTTCTAAGATCAGTACAGTACCGCCGAAGTGTCACGCGCCGAGCAAGCTCGCAGGCGGAGCTTTGATCATCGGCCAATAGGCTCCAAGTATGGCAAGGCAGCTTATCATTTAATGCATACAGAAGCTCTTCAAGGCAGATGTCGAAGGCTGAAAACTATTCCAACACTTGCTGTTCACTCTTAAACCTTAATTTATGTAACGGAGATTGGAGGCTAACGAGAATGGTCTTTTCATTGGCAAATCTAGAAACAAGGGGGAGGATGACGCACCAAACCCTGTAATAAAAATATATTAAAATAAAAAATATATATAAATATTTTCTCAGGTTGCAGAATGTGATGTCTAATTTGGAGTTTTCCACTGTGCTATGTTTGATATCACACTTATCATAAAATACAGGAAAAATCAGGTATTTTCATTATTGAAAAAATGTAACCATCCAAATAGAATATAGTTTACTTGTTGTTCTTAGAAATAAATCACTGTAGCAAAAATAGAGAATATTTGAAGGTTCAGAAACTTAGTTGTCTCATTTTGAACAACTGTAAACTTACTTTATGTTGGGAACTTAAGAATATATAAGGGCAATAAAATACATTTGTTAACATGCACAAAGATCATAAAATCATAGTAGAAATTATTGAGATACTATAAACCATAAGAAACGGGATTCACTGTTTATAATCAATGTCTTTTACATTCTAAGAATAGCTTTGTTACAATATATAAACCAAAATTTTCTATATCTCAAATGTTATTCTTCCTAAAAACATTTTATTCTAATCTTATTCACAATGCTATACCAAATTATCCATAACAAAAACTAGCTCTAAATTCAGTTAACTCCAGTAAAACTAGATTCCTTTACATTTATGGTTCATCAAGACCTAAATATTTTCTTCCTCTTAGGAAGAATTGAATTTGGGATATCAACATAGCTAAATAGGAATAGGAAAAAATTTCTTGTGGCTATTTGGAGCTGAAGGCAGACATTTTTAGACAACTTATTTCTTCCCTCACACAAGCCATGGATACATGCTAATAAGGTTATTGCCTGCTGTAATTACCTAAAAAACAAAGAGCCTACTTAGATTATATACTACAAGAAACTGCCATACTGGAGAGTTCAACTCAAGAATAGACTGGAAAAAACATTATAACATAACCATTCAGTAACATGGCTTCCTCTTGTATAGCACTTGTTTTTGTGTGTGGAAAACTCCATATTTCCCATTTACGCTACTTTTACCTTTACCATTTATGTAAACCTTTTTGGCAATGAAAAGTCTGCGCCACATCACATCAACAGCTAAAACAGCTGCTGCACAAAGACTCAAAAGCATCGATAAAGAATCCAACGTCTAGCTAGCCTACAAACTCAATTTGCTTATTTTAAAAGATTTACAAATTTACTTCCTTCTTTCTCAGTTACACCAATTACACGTAAGTAATCCTCTAGCTTAATTAAAAATATACATTGTTTGTGCATTTTCAAACTAACGGTAATTGCAGTGCTCAGTAAAAAAAAAAAGGTACAATTATGACCCCTACTGGCGTAAAAATGCAACCACAACTGTGACCGGAGAGATATTAAAGCCTTGTGAATCAAAACGAAAAAAAGAAAAAAAAAGTCCACAGCCACATTTGGCATTTTGTTTATTGTCCTTCAGATTCTTTGATAAAAGAGTGTTTGTGCCTTTGCTAAGTTAGCAACAGTAATATCAGCAGATAATCTTTGACAGTGGCAACATTTGGGGGGGGGGGGGTGTATTATTTAAATTTCTTTTGTAAAGAAATACCTGGAAAAAACAGTGACATATACATAGAAACACACTGATATTGTTCCAACAGATTTGCATGTCCAAGAGGTGAAATCCCATCCTGAGATTACTGATCAATCCAAATTCACTGGTTTAGCAGTCAACATCTTCTAAGGTCTTGCAGCTCCATATGCAGACATTTAATTAACTGAAACTTGAAAGCCAGCAGGTATTTCTGCAACACTTCCTCCTTCACAGACCATCTAATGTTTGAGGCAGGGCTCAAAGTGCGAGTTAGGAAAACATGAGCCAAACTAAAGTGACTGTTAAACGTGCAAATTTACAGGCAGGTTTTGGATGTAGGCTACACGCCGGATTGTGGTTTTGGGACGTCACACCTAAACTTATTGCCTTTGTTTGCTGAGCAGTCAGCTACAAGATTCCAAATGCATCTCAAAGACGTTTCACAGAAAAAAATTTTTTAGCATCTTTTCATGCATGACTATATTAATTTGTTGAGGACGAAGGCTTAATATAATAAATACAAAATAAAAGGCCAGGGTGTGATACATTCTGCAACTCTCTAAAACACAATCTGATCTCCAGCTGTGACGACGGCACCGTTTATGCCAGACATTGCATCTTTACTGGGAAAACATATACATATACATTTCTGCAGGCAGCTACCACAGCCCTGCTATGCCATAACCTGATTAATTTGAATCAACTAAGAAAAAAAAAAAAAAAAAGAAAAACTTTATCATAAAATGCAATATCAATCACATAGAAAAATATTATCCAAGAAAGCAGGTTTTGTTCCTCAAATTTCACGTCGATTTTAACAGTTAACTTTCTGGCAGCGAACTAAGTTAGCACAATTATAATTTCAGAGGTGGGGAACGTCCAAATATGGTGTTTTTATACCTCTCAAACTTTTTTTCCTCATACTCTATACCTTTGTGTACTTCATTTAAGATTTTATGAAGACGTCTTCACATGAATTCCCAATAAAATACATTGTAAAAATTTGGTACGGGAATTTTTGTAAGGCGCTGTAAAGGACAACCTAATGGTAGAATGGCACTGAAAAAACAAACAAAAAAAAAAAAAAACAATGTCATTGACTGCAGAAAGAATCTAGAAAATTACAATAACGTTTATCTGATGGGGGACAGTTTTAGATGCACACGTTCATTCATAAATAACACCTTTAAAAAGCAGCTGTTAAACATGACAGTGCAGAACTAAGTGGAGCAGTACGATTGTTAAGATACGTGGGAATGAGGGTCGTACGGTTTCCAATTTCTGTCTTGCGAACACATGTGCCCGTTTTGATTGTTCTGCTTTTCAATCGTGGATTTCATCCCTCTGATCCCCACCAAAGAGTTCACAATCCAGCTGAGTCAGGCTGGGAGAGAGAGAGAGTCAGCGTTGGCAACGCCAAAACACAACTCTGATCTCCTTTTGAAGCCGTAGTGCACTGTGTTTCCTGGAATCCAATATGTAAAGCGCGGCAGCAGCTGGCAAGTGTACCAGGAAGCATTCAGGGTCCACGGCGCTGTTCAGCAATTTCTTTGGCACAGCTAATGTCCGGGTTGGGATCTGGGTCCAGTGAACACAAAACAAACTCCCTGAGAGAGGATTCAACCCAAACCTATATAGGACTACTGAAAACTACAGAAAGCATCGTGCAGGGATATAATGAAGAGTGTACGTTGTGAACTCTGTTATTACAGTGTAACTTTATTTGACACTTCTTAACACCCCCAGATGTAGAAAACGTGTCATGTCCCCTGGGTTAAAGCTCAACTAATAGATTTTTATGTTGTTTTTTTTTTTTTTTTACGGACAAGTGTTTGACAAACACAAAGATAAATCCTGCCTTTTCTACTTAAATTGATGTCATTAATCCTTCTCGAGTGTAGATTCAGTGCTAAAACACTGACAGATTTTACAGGAGCAGCGACACAACTTGGCCATCAATTTTCAGCTTTCTTTAGTGAATTCCACACGAGAGAGCAGGGAAACAAAAGCAGATCGTTGAAAGGATTTGCGTGAATGACTCTAAATTTGTTGTTCATAGCCTTTCTTTTTTGTTGTTTAAATAAAACTTACTTAAAATTCAGAGAGAAGCCTGCGATAAGAGACCGTCAGATGACCTTTTAAAATTGATTCTTTCTTCTTACATTCTTCCTTCAAAGTTAAAAAAATATTTCAGGTTCATAAAAAGAACCAGTCCTTCTGGATCACACCTTTTACACTATGAAACCTGACTATCTTAGAAATAATAACTCTACACAAAACCCTGTTGAACTCATTGATAAAGCACTAAACCAGGCTGCATAAGATAAATATAAAGGACAGTATTTATTTATTTTTTTTAATCGTTCTCTGCACTTTTTCATCTGCGCTAAACTGATATTTCGACCTTTAAGTTCGTCACCCCAGGAGGTACAACTACAACTACAGAACCATTGAACTTTTTCACATTTTGTCAAGCCATTTTATTTTTTATTTCACGGGACAGACCCTCAGCAAGCATCCGGTAGCTGAGTTTGAGCTAAGAAGTCAGCAGTATATAAAAGAACATCTGAAAAAGGTGGCAGACGTTTGCCTTTAGCCCATTCAGCCTGATACCAATAAGTAAAATACAGTGTCAATTAATATTAATAAAATAATTAATTTCAAAAGGAAAATGAATGTTGTGACTCATATCTATGTTTCTCCAGAGATTTACTGCAGATGATGATGGCTGTGGGCAGGAAGGATCTTTTGAAGCAGTCTGTGTTACAGCAGATCTGAAGAAGCCTCTGACTGAAGACAATCTGTGGTACAATTGTACCACAGATTGATAAAGTAGACTTTAAATGCATGCCACACCTTTTATGCACTTTTGTTAAACTATAACCATCTATCATTTTTCCTCTCCTTAACATTTAGCAACATGAGAAAATGTGAAAAAGCTTCAGACAGCAATGAATGCAACAGCGGGAGAGCAACAGTACAAAACCCGCTAAACCCGAAAAGATAACAAAACAACGCAGCGACCAGATCAATTGTAATGTTGCACCACATTCAGCATTTTGCTTTGGCACAGCCACCTTTTTTCTTTTTTTCTGTAGTTGTTTTTTGATGACACAGAAAGCAGGCGGAGCAGGGATGACGTCTGGTATCAGAGCCAAAAGCAGGGATGGAAAGACAGACGGGGCGTCAGAACACAAACCAGGTGGAAGGGGTTGCCGCGTTTTCATTAGGACTCAACCTGAATTTCTAGAACTGGGCGCACACACCTGACAGGTTTGCAGACCTTATGGTGAGAAGTTAGGATCCAAATTTATCTCATGCATCGCTAGACTTCTCTTCACAGCATCTTCCTCCGTGTGAGACTCAAATCGCAGTGAAAACTTTTCGTTCCTGACCAGATTAGCGAAACGCGTTGAGAATAATTTGTCTGTCACGTCTCTGCTGCTCTCCGACGGCTCTGGTCAGACGCTTACATACAATCATCGCTGCCCTATTTAACTGTAGGCCTTTAATAATGATTGTGAATTGTTCCTTTACCAGTCCAGAGGTTTAAAAGCCTCGTCCTGAATCCTCCAAAGACACTTCTTATAATTAAGACCGGACAAGCTCAGTCTCTGCCTCATCTGATTATAAAACCTTTTTCTGATATTCAAAAAAAAAAAAAAAAAAAAGGGCCAGAATTAAGCCAGTAGTTGGGCTGCTTGACAACCTGAGAACTGTGCAAATGTGTTTTCAAAGCCAAGAATTAATTATGGCATTTATCCCCAGGAAGAGTATATGGAAAGTTTGTTTATCCAGCACTCTCTGAGCCTCCTTCAATCATAAAAAACTTCATTTTTCGATTTGGATTGTGTTATTTGTCATTAAATCTGAGGCAAAACAATAACAATAATAATAAATACAAACGTGGAGAGCGTGTGCTATAAACTGACCACGATTCTTTTCTTTTACTATGCGACGGTGCTCTTGTTGCCTCAAAATTCAGTCCAAATAGATTTGGGTTGCTCTTCTGCTTCGACATCCAGCCTTCATACTTCAACAGCGGTCTCATGCAATATAAATAAACTCCATGTGTTGGTGTGCAATTGTCAAGGGCTCGCTCCGCTCCAAGAAAGTACCACTCCAGCAGCCCATGTTTGTTTTGTGAAGTCTGATCCTTCCTCTGAGTTTTCTCGTGTCTCAGGCTGGCGCGTCCGTCCCTGAGGAGATGTGGGTGTCGGCCTTTTCCTCGAAAAGGAGGGGGCTAGATCCAGCGCCCGGAGCCTCGGGTTTGCTGCTCCTGCTCCTTCTTCCTCTTTTTACAAAAGTAGTAGACGGGGAAAACAAACAAACCTGCGGAGAACAGGAGAGAATCGGCATTTTCCAATTAGTCGAGACATGCAGTGGCGTGAAAAAGCATTTGCCTACTCAAAGATTTCTTCTGTTTTTACCATCAAACTGATGAAATGCAAAAGATAGTTTTTCAATTATTTTTTTTTACTTAATTAAGAAAAAAAAAATGGCTGCATAACCTGAGGGGGGTTTGAGATTTGGGTCACAAACTGATGGCTGGACAGTCTCCCCCTTCTGGATTTTATGGTGCACACCGTCGCACTGCCACCTCCATGTTCGACTTTCTGTTTGATTTTCGTCTTCTGAAATGCTGTTTTAGTTTAGTTTGGTTTTTAACAGGACGCACTTTTGTCCCGTGAGTTGACGGGAAATATTTCCTCAAGTCTTGGGGATGATCTAGATGTTTCCAGCAAATTTAAGCCATTTTGCCCCATCGCTCTTTCTTACTGCTGGATCATGAACATCTGACCTAAACTGAGGAAAGTGAGGTCGGGCGTTGCTCTGGGTTCTTTTGTGACCTCCTGGACGAGTTATCGATGCGCTCTGGGAGTCATTTTTGCAGGCTGGGCCACTCCTGGGACGGTTTACCGACGTTCTACGTCTTCTCCATTTGTGGATAATGGATCTACTTCTGAGTTTCAAAACCTCGGGAACAGTTTTGTCGCCCTTTCCTGACTGACTGGGAATCTGCTCTTGAATTCTGGTGTGCCATGATATGTTGCTTTTTGAGATTTTCATGTTGTCAGGCAGGTCCTTTTAAGTGACCTCACAACACCAGGTTGGTTTGGATAGCTTAGCAAAGTTAAAAGTTGTTTATAATAAATCAAATCACAATTTTTGGGACTGCTTATGTATTAATTTTCTGTGTGATATAATTGGTGCAAATACTTTCCCAGCTGCACCATATATAGGAATATGAAGATACAGTTGGGCTGAAGCACCGATGGGTCCCAGTGCACCCCGACGAATGAGTCAGCGTCACCGCTGACGACGATGACGTGAATGCAACCCAAGGAAATCATCATCATCAGAGGCCAGTCGCGGTTTGAATCTACGACTCCAGCCTCGTCTGTGCAGAGCAGCTGCTTTGCTGCTGCGCTAAGAAAGCGTTCCGCTTCTCTTATTCACATGAGGCATTTAGCGAGGACGTGTTTGGCCGGTGCCTGTGTGTTCATGTGTGCAGCTGCGTTTACCTATCACCAGAGCGAGAGCTCCGACTACTATCATCAGCACGAAGACCAGCGGCGCTAACAGCGACTTAGCAGCTGCAAAGAGAGAAGAAGGAGAAAGGAAGAACGGTTACTGCAACAGCCAACGATCGGCTCTGCCTTCTCATTAAATCCAAAATCGGAGCGGCAATGTGCAAATGACTCCTGCTGTGGGGTAAAAACTGGCGGCCACCCGCTGAGATAACTGTGCTTTTTTTTTTTTTTTTTTTTATGGCGAGTGTCAAGGAAATCGTGTCAGGATTCCAGCTTCTCCGAGTCTCACTGCTTCAAAGATCTGATAACTGTTAATTATCATAACTAAGACAGAATCATGCGAGATCTCCTCTGGTTCAGGACAGAACGCTAGGTGCAGTGAGGAACGCAAGTTTTATCTGAGAACTTTAAGGCGAAATGTCACATTGTTTTCATTAAAAACCGGCAAGACAAGCCACAAAAAGCAAGTAAAATGATTCAAGGTTTAAAGTGATGTTTAAGTCAATATTGGCAAAGTTCTGATCTGATATGTTTGATATACATTTGCATACTTATAACTATTGTGCTAAATCTAATAGATTAAGACAAAGTTGTGTTAAGTATGAAAAAATGTCTCTGGGCGAACATACCGTTAAAGTAAGGTAGACGTACTCTATGCTGCTAAAACTTTGGCTTTACTTAAAGAATATTGTTACAGACACATTTTATCCTATCTACTATGTCGCAAGGTTGTCAGACATAAGTTTGTGTATTTTAAAGAAAATACAACATAATGTTCTATATTTTCTGCTAATTATAGGCAGTAAGAACGAACAGATTGCAGGACTGGTGATTAGAATCGGCCTTGATCAACTTGAGCAAAGACATGCTAATTCAACAGTTTGTTTAACTGCTTGCTGACGTTGAGCTCAGGAGAAACATTTAACTTTAATCAAAGAAGTAAAACAATTATGGGACTGTTACTTTTAAAAGTTGTTTTTTTCCCCCACTGTTGGTTGAACCTTTTCAACCGATGCCCTACAGAGGTCAATTACGCAAAATCAGCTACAAAGTTAACGTTAGCAATATTCAACCACAGAACTGAAACAATGAGAAAAACATCAGTTCCAAATAATCACTTCCTAAAGTGCAAACCACACAGGCGGGTGTACAGTAACAATTTGACCCTGTTGAGGGTGATAAAGTATGCTGTCACATGGTGAGTATCAATATAGTTGAATTTAGCGTTTAGCGTTAGCTTCTGCTAAAAATCAAGTTGGTGTAGCACTTCAGAGTAAGCCGAGATGATGTTCATGAATCACCTTTTACGGTAAGTGGTGCTAACTTTTCACTTAGCGGTAAAGTGTATGGCATTTGTTAAAATGTAACACCTGTCTGTACCAAAATAAATATAATTCAATTCAAGGGAGCTTCCTAACCTGACTCAGTTACTCTAATTCTGTCACAAGGAATGAGACAAAATTCCTGCAAACTGCTGTGAGAAACTTGTGGAGCCATAACTAAAAAGTATCACTTATTATACAGTTTAAAAATGCAATTCTATGAAATACCAAACAAAGATTAAATGTAAAAAAAAACTTAAACATGAATAAAAAAAAGTGCTATGTGTCCCTTTGTTTTGTCTATGTAAATATAGGGGCTGGAACTCTGAGTATTTTTTTTTATTTTTTTTTTTATGATTATAGCCCTCTCCTGATTTGACTGGGTAAAAAGGAGTGGGTTTATTATGGTGCATGACCTGAGAAAAGTTTCAATAAACTATTTTTGCAGTTGTAGTTGACAAGAGCAACAAAGAGTTTAAAATAGCAGAATAAATACTCACCAAAGACAGAGCCTCTAAGGAGTCGCCTGACATGGGGCCTGTCAGGGAAGAAACGATACTTGCAGCCAAACACACTGAGGTTGGAATTGTGGTCCCCGAAGAATCTGTCGCAAGATCGTGAAAGATGGACTCAGAAAGGGGATAAAGGACAAAGGGAGCAGCCAGAGTGAAAAGCGGCAGAGAGAATGGAACCTGAGGCTTCGGTAACGCTCTCCACAGCGGTAACAGAAGTTAGTGCCACACTGGGAACAGGCCATGTGATCACAGCCCTCTGTTCGCTGGATGTGGATCTAAAGAGAAGAGACGAATAAAGAAAAAACCACATTTGAATCAAGAGAGACAAGATGCAGTACAGATAGTACCACAACTCTAATGCAGCAGAATCCGATTTTCAACTTAGGAGTGCCGCGTGTGCATCGTTACTCATCTGTTCCACATGTGCTCCCTCCCACCAGCTGTTCATCCATCATCCCTTCCCAGTTTTCATGCTTCCAAACCTTTAATGATTCAGGTTTCTATATCGCTCCCGTCTTTCATCAATCAGCTTCCCGACCGACGCAGCAAACCGGACCCGGCCTACAATGCAAATCGCCATGAGATCTACAACCCAAAACACTGCTCCGAGCTCCTACCTTGCACCGTGGACACTTCTGGGCGTTCCTCTGCCCGTGCTCGATGACGCTCGCCCAGGTTCGCAGCAGCTTGTCCCCTTGGATGTAGTCGCGACACTTGATTCCATCGTGCCAGGGCGCGTGGCATTTAAAACACCACACAAACTGGCAGCTGATGCACTGGATCTACGGCAGGCAAGCAGGAGGATGAAACAATTTTAAAGAGAGCAATGGTTGCACTGAAAGGGATTACGAGAACAGAAGAGAATTCATTGAAAACAACCAAGCACATTATAATTATGATCCACCTAGAGGTGGGTCTTTATAGTTTCTTTCATTATTCGACATCCCAGGCCTCACTGTTAGTGTTGCTATATTGATCATTAAATGGCAGAGCAAAGATCGGACACAAGCAGAAACAATTAACTTTCCCTGTGGGGTTTTTGGTCTTGGGCTTAGAGATGAAGTCGTCACATGGGAGTTGCTGCTCCTTTGCATTGGTTAATGGAGGGTAATTGAAGGGAGCTAATCCGGATAGTCAAGTCCCACTGGGTGGAGATCACATTGCAGATCTGAAACTCCCCAACTACGCATCACCTCGTCCATAGAACGTTTTAGCATCCTCAAGAAGAGATTTCTGGGTTTTGCCACCTTGCTTGCTAAGATATCAGAATGAAACCATATATTACATGCACTGATCTCCTGTTTGTTGATCACATGCAGCACACAAGTGACAACAAGTGGCCACTGGAGGCAGGTGGAAATGCAAGCTAACTGGCAATTAGACCGGAAAAGCAGACCTGTCAATGTATGTTAATGCCTGATGTGGACAGAAACACAATCAGATTCACCGGAGTCATTTCCTGGTGACTGTTAGAAATGATAAACGACAAAAGCCTGCCGCACAGGTCCCTGAACGCAGCCATACCTTCTCGCTTGTTTTTTTTCCCCCCTACTAAACAGTCAATCCGAGCGTGCAATCTTACCTTGTACTTGTGGTCGTTGCGGTTTGTGCTGCTTTCCTTCAGAGACGTGAAGTGGCTGCACTGGGGACAGGGCTTTGTGCTCGAGTCCAGCTGACTCATCTGCAAAAAGTAGCGGTACTTCACCACCTCTTCCCTGCTCAAGTGGGAAATTATTAATCCCTCCTCCAGGGTGCCGGTACACTCCGTGATTGGACAGCTGATGACAACATTGCCCTCCTTCACCTGTAATAAATAAAATAATGATAAAAAATAAATAAATCTGAGCTGCAAATTTCAATGAGAAGAAACACGTCTATGTTCTTTTCTGCAGCATCAGCTGTTCATCAGCGTATGAGTGTGAGGGTTTGGCCACTGTGGGGTTGTCTGACTAGGAAGCTTCTACATGCTGAAGAAATTCACAAAACCTAGTGAATAATTTACCCCAGAATAGAAGGAGTGCAAAGTGGATAAGTGGCACGGTGAATGAAACAGCGTGGAGGATAAAAACACACAAATGTGAGAAGTTTGATGTTTTTAGTGTGCTTTACTACAAAATCTATTGGAATGTTGTTAATAATTTAATGCACTACAGTTGATAAATATTATAGTTAGACAGACACAGGTATGAAAAACTATACCATTTGAAATGTTTCACTTTTTAAAAAACTTTTTTCATAAGATTATCAGCACCAAGTGGAGTTTGAGGAATGACTTCGCCATACTTGTGTACTTTTGTATTATGAGACCCCCCCCCCCCATAAAAAAAATTAGACTCAATCAAGTCAATCTAGAAAACTAATCGCTGAAGTTTATGG